GTGGAGAACTTTCTATATAAACATGACATGTATATATATCAATCATAAGACACAGCCCAACTTAAGGTGAAAACTGCATTCAGGGATAGAAGGAGAACACTAACAAGTTAAGAGGATTTCAGCAGAGGAGGGCAGGGCTTCTGGAAGGTTTAACAGGCCTCCCTGCATCTTTAAAGGGAGAGGTGAATTAAGAGGTGGCTCTCGCCGTTGACAGAGGGGTCCGGGAAGATGCCCTTGGCTGTCTTCCCACCTGCAGCATTACCTGTGAGCAGCACCCTGAGCCCCGCAGGCCTCTCTGGCTCCGCTCAGCCCCTCTGGTCGACAGCAAAATGAAGCGAGGGAAAAGGAACCGAGTGTTTTATATGCACGTGCTTCCCCGTGCCTTCTCTCCCCACGATGTACGTTCCCAGGCCCAGCCGGGGAGGCTGGCAATGAGTTCACTTCCATGTGGCGTCCACGACACCCCAGGTGAGCCATAATGTGGCAGAAGATGCAGTTCCCAGGCCCGCTCCTCAGACCGCGCCTGGAGGGGCCTGGCAGGAAACATTCTTAGGGTCTGGTGATCGTGGCTTAGCACTACCCACGGGATCCCCTCCTCATCCGCACATGAAAACTCAGAGTTCAGGTAACTTTTGGGCCAAAAAGTGGGGGGGAGGGGGAGGGCCAAATTCCAAAGTGCCAAAAGATGAGCCGTGACCAGCTTCATGACGGAAAGGCAGGAGCTCAGGGTCAGGACTGCCAGCCCCGAGGGGCAGCCGTGTACCCCACAACCATGTGAGGGTCCTTCCTCCTCATCCGATTGCAGTGTCTTTGGGAGGGGGGGGGCATCAGCGATGCGACTAACTGCCTGAGCGTGCCCGCTGCCTTGCTCTGCAAGCCAGTGTCTCTAACAGATGTGCACATGATCGCCTGTTCCGCCAGGGGCCAGGGCTTACAGCGAGCGAGGAGCTCAAAGACACAAACTACCAGAAGGTGCTAAGTGCTGTGCAGAGAACTAAAACAGGAGAGGTGACAGGTGGCGAGTGTGGCCTGAGTGGATCAGGGTGGGGGGAACCTCTCAAGAGGAGGTGACATTCATGCTGAGCCCTGAATGACGGGATTCCCAGACAGGAAGGGCAAAGCCATCTCTCCTGAAACACTGGTATTTAGCACAGGGGTTGCACGACTCAACCCAGCCCTGGGGATCCCCATCCCCAGCCAGGAGATTCTGTTAGACTTTATTCTCTGGTGGAAATAATATTCCACAACATACTGTTTCGGACTACACATACCTCCCCAAGAATTCTGATACTCCCCTCACTCCCCACAAAGAGTATGTTTCCCCAACCTTCCCTCCTCCCACTGACCCACCCTTCTCCTGAGTCAGACTCTTGAGGGGTCCTGGGGAACAACTTCCCCCAAGAGTGGAGGCTCCGGGTCTGTGACCTGCCTCCTGATGTTCCAGGATGCCCCAGTGCCAGTGCGAAACCGCCCTCCCCCAAACTCGGCCGGCCCGCCCTCACCCTGAGGACAGGCACTGTTCCCACGGGCCCCACCACAAAATTGGCATGGCCCCGGCCAGTGCTCCCTGGTCCCTTTAAAAAGGAAAAACAGAGTTCAGAAGGACCTGGACAATGGCACAAACCCTGCAGTCTGTGGGGCCAACTGAATGGCCTGGGGACTCTGCTTACATAAGAGCCTGGTTCGAGCAGGGACAGGGCCAGGGCCGTGCCAGCCTGCCAGTCACTGTGACCTACTGAGAGGCTCTTTATCCCTCAGAGAGCTGGGAAAGGCTCGTGGCCCATCTCTAACTAACCACGAGACTGGCGGGGCGGTGGCGGTCGGGGGAGCGGGGGGGAGCCCCAAACACCATCCACACCCACCAGTCAGTAATAAGGAACAACTACTCTGCCCATTTATGCAACACACAGCAGAACGCGAGGACCCCTCCCCACCCCCCCCCCCCCCCCGGGGACTTAAAAAATAAACCGCCCTCTTAAAGTTGACCTTTTAGGCAAAATCAACAGAGAAGGGACTTCATCACCCTCAGGGTAAAGTCCACAGGTCTCTGGCCAGTCGGCCTCATCACTCGACATGGGCCATCCACAAAGTCAGGCTTCCCGGCCTCTGCACATGCTGTCCCCTCCCCTTCCCTGAAAACCTTCCCTTTAGGGCCTCGGCTCGATGAAAAGACCTGGAGGGCAGAGGCTGCGGTTAGTCCGTCTTCCTGGAGAGTGACAGGCACAGAGAAATGCACTGGAGCGAATGAACGAATGAATAAATGGCAGAAGGAAACAGATAAGTGGAGGCCCACGACAGGAGACCGCTCAGACCAGGACGACCCGCAAGCATCCCGTGTGGCCGGGGACAGGCCCAGGGACGGAGCTGGCAGCTCGTGGTGAGGCCCAAGCATGGGGAGGAGAGGATGATGCGGAACAGGCTGGCTGGCCGCGGCGGCGCTGGACCCGGGGCTCGCGGACAACGGGCCGTTAAGAAGCCAGCTTCCCTGGGTCATGATCAGTAAGGACTGACTAGGCCCAACGCGGGAGATGCAGTTCTCAGCCAGGTCCCTGCAGCAGCCCCACACTCGCCCCTCTGCGCCCCGGGAGCCTGACCACCAGGAGAAGACGCATTCGTGCATCTCGTCAGTCAGTAAGGAGGCGCCGGCCAGGCGCCGGGGAAGCTGCAGGGACAAGACACAGAGTCCCTCCCTGCCGTCACCAAGCTCACAGTCTGACCGTGTAGAACCCAAGTGAAAATGCAACCACGGCCCAAGGTGGGCCCGATGGACGGGAGCAGGGTGCCAGGGGGTGGGGCGGGGGTCATCCTCCAGGTAAGATGGTCCAGGAAGGCCTCTCTCTGCAGGACGTGGAAGCTGAGCTCTCAATAAGTAGCGGCCGGGGAAACACAGAGGAAGAGCCTTCTGACTGAGGAAACAGGCAGATGCTCAGGGCTGGAATGGGGCTGTGGGCGTTTGAGGAGACGAAAGACAGAAGTGTAGAGGGTGAGGAAGGCAGGGGACAGAAGACGACGAGGAGCCCGAGAGACGGTTCTGAGGCCCGGGTGCTAAGATCCTCCCATTTACATGGGAGAAGCCCCTGCAGCCGCTGCAGGGTGCGGAACATGCCAGAAGCTGCCCGGCTTCCAAGGGAGCAGGTTTGACGGCCATCAGATGGGCAGACCCACCCGAAGCACCCACTTCCTGGGACGGCTCTCTGTCCCACTAAGTCCGAAAAGTGGGTTCTGACTGTGCTTCCACTTGGCCCAGGGAAAGAGGTCGTCCCCAAATGTGACCTCCACCGTGTGTGACAGTGTATCAAGACTGACCACCGGCTGCTTCCTCCCTCTTCTGGGCATACCATTTAGCATGAACCCATCTCCAGCAGCTTCCGTGAAGGAGGCCTCCGTGGCCCGGTTCACTGGCAAGTCATAAGGCTTTCAAGAGAGGCCACGTGCAGAAAGCATTTCCGAGACCTGACCGATGCGGCTCTCCCGATCCGTCCAATGATTTGTCCTGAACCACCTAACGCTCTGTACCCCGACTGCGGGCCAGGAAGTGTGCTGGACACGTCACACTCCCCAGCGGCCCTCCGAGACAGGTGTCCTTACCCTGGATTCATGGGAGAGAAAACCGAAGCTCAAGCAGGGAGAACTGTCTGTCCCAAGGGCAGAGCCGGTGGCCTCCAAAGACATCCACCCCTCAACGCACAACCGCCCAGGCCCACCCACAGTGAAGCCCCCCCCCCCCGTGGCCCACCAGAATCCTGGCTCTGCCACTCGCTGAGGGACTAAGGGCCCGTCGCTTCACTCCTCTGTGCCCCAGTTTCCCCATCTGTCAAACAGAGAGAAGAACGGTCCCTACCCCATGGGTTCGTTACCAGGATTAAATGAGTTATCAGCTAAAAGCGCTCAGAGTGAGTACCAAGCCGGTAGAGGCGTTCTGAGGAGGAGGATTCCCTGGCAGTCCCCAGGTATTAAAACATCCTCTGCTGCCACCGCCACCCAGCCCAAGGTCTGGCCAAATCTGTCGGTGAAAGCGCACGGACTGCCAACCAAACTCAAGGGCGGAGTCCCTTCCTAGCACAGTCCCCACTCAGGGCTGTCTGTCCACTCGCCACTTACCTCTCCTCAGGAACCGGTTATTCAAGAGGTTCTGCGCGGCTCCGAGGGAGCTCCCGGGTCCCACCCAGGCTCACCTAGGCCCACCCCGCCCACCACTCCGATCCTCCCACTCACCTCCCAGCCTCAGCCCCGCCCCCGCCCCGCCTCCCCTGCCTAGGCCCCGCCCTCCCCGCCTAGGCCCCACCTCTCCTGCCTAGGCCCCGCCCTCCCCGCCTTGGCCCCATCTCCGCTGCCTAGGCCCCGCCCCCCCCGCCTCGGCCCCACCTCCCAGACTTAAGCTCCGCCCTTCCCACTCAACCCGACCCAAGGCTCTTGGGCCAAGGCACACCAACACAAGGAAGGTCTTTAAACCTCACGGCGGGGGGGGCGCCTGGGTGGCGCAGTCGGTTAAGCGTCCGACTTCAGCCAGGTCACGATCTCGCGGTCCGTGAGTTCGAGCCCCGCGTCGGGCTCTGGGCTGATGGCTCGGAGCCTGGAGCCTGTTTCCGATTCTGTGTCTCCCTCTCTCTCTGCCCCTCCCCTGTTCATGCTCTGTCTCTCTCTGTCCCATAAATAAATAAATAAATAAATAAAAATAAAAGTTTATTAAACCTCACGGCGGCTTTCCCGGCCTGCCAATCCCAATCCGGCTCCCCCCTCTAGAACTCCGAGGGACAGCCCATCCGATTTTAGGGCCAAGAGAGACCCTCGGCCAGCACTCCACACCGACACACAGAGCCTCTCCCACTCTCCCTCCAGGGACGCTTTGTCCTCAGAACAGTGGCGCGGCGTTGCACAGCACAGCCTGGCCACCAGCAGCCTTTGGAAGCATCAGCAGCGACAGAAACTGGAAAGGCGCAAACCCAGGGCTCAAGCCCAGCTACACGGCTTCCTGACTCTGTGACCTTCCGCAACTTAATTTGCTTCTCTGAGCCTCAGTTTCCTTATGTGCAAAGTAGAAGTAATACTCGTGCCCACCCGATCACCTGTGCTTGTTGGTGCCCCCCCCCCCCCCCGCCATTCCTCTTCTACGGATGGGCAATCAGACAGACCTGAGTCTGGATCCCCTCTCTGCCACAACATGACCTTGGGTAAGTTGGGCAAGTTCCTTCACCTGAGCCTCGTGTTCCTTATCCACAAATGTGAGCAAAGAGTACCCACCTCTCAGGTTTTCGGACAGATACAATAAATGTGACCTGTCCCTGCTATTAATCCAGCAGGATTGATTATCTGGCCCAAGAAGAGGGGATCACAACCAGCATCCCAGCCTGTCTGCAAATGCAAAACCAGTCCCAAAGACATTTTTGGAAGGCCTTTTCTTTCGATGCAGCATGCAGAAGGGTGTGAGAGTGAAGAGGTCAAGCAGTCCCCATTTCAGAACACCAACACCTTTCTGCAAACAGGCGCCACATTTAAGGTACGAAAGTCGGAGACCCACACATAAAACGGGCTCAACAGTCAGAGAAACCCAAAATATCCCTCACCTATTCCAAAAGGCTACAAGAATTCAGAAGAAAAAAGTATAAAAAAAACCCAGCAGACACCCAAGATCCCACCTCCCAGATTTAAGAATTATTTACATCAGATTCCTTTTTTTTTTTTTAATAAAACAGACATAGCTGAAAGCCTTCCACACCCCTTTTCTCCCCACTCCCTCTCCCCAAGCAACGGTTCCTCTGTGTGATTCCCACATACTTCTAACCTCTGATCACAACATATCCACTTATTATGTACATATCCATAAGCAGTACAAATAAATCTCTCTCATTTGGTACTTTTTGAAATACATAGAATCTTTTGCAGCTTGCTTTTTTCCACTCAACAGGATATCTGGAGATTTACGAAAGGACTGGGAAACCAAAGTAGATTCTCTTTTCATAAAATGGAACTGTGCTCAACAGTTAAAATGAATGAACCAGGGCTACCTGTAGCACCCTCTGATGATATATTTCCATCAACTTCCTAATGTTCTTTCATACTGACCTTTGCCTTCACAGGTTGCATTTGCCCCAATGAGCAGTCACAGAAAGGCTCAAAGTAGTTAATCAAGCTGCTCTGGTCAGTGACACAGTTATGTACTGAGTGGCAGAACCAGGATTCAGCCCCACCCCTGCCCAAAGCCCACACACTTAAGACACCATTAACCATGGGTCTACTTTCTCCTTAATTTTTGCCTTCCAGCCCAGTTTTCTGGCTCTAAACAACTGCCATTTGACCAGAACTCCACCTTCCAGAACTTTCACATGCTTATTCCTGTGGCGTTAGTGGAAGCAAAACTTGCCTGAGGCAAGGTACTGTGTTGGTCTAGGATTAGTCGCAAAATTAGCACCAACAGAGCTACCCTTTTTGGGGGAGGGGGGGTGGAAGATCCTACATAAGGGCAGTGGGGACCCCAAGAGGATGAGGCTTCCTTGTCTCCAGGTACCCATCCAGAGGAAACAGGCAGTGATAGGCAGTGACGGGCAGTGGTGGGCAGTGAAGGGCTCAGAAGACTGAGAGGCGCTGATCTTCCTGGGAATTAACAGACTCATTTACAAGACACAACAGCTGTTTTTCCAGTTACGCCTGGGATCATTACTTTGAGCTCTCATCTGCAATGGCAAAAACAGCAATAAAAAAAATATGGAAGGAAGGAAGGAAGGAAAAGAAAAAAGAAAAGAAAAAAGAAAGAAAAGAAAAGGAAAGAAAAGAAAAGAAAAGAAAAGAAAAGAAAAGAAAAGAAAAGAAGAAAAGAAAAGGAAAGAATGCTGTAATGTAAGATAAGCAGCTCTCTTATCAACCCTGATCCGACCCCAAGACAATCCCAAGGCCTCCTTTGCCTTCCAAGAAACCAGCTTCAGCCAGGACCCAAAGGTGACCCGTTTTATCTGCTTCATCTCAACTAGTCCACTGAAGGGATACTTCTTCCTCCCAGATCACAGAGGGGACACTGGCAGTGATGGTAAACTGTTACTGAAACAGCAACAAATCTCCCCTCCAGCTGGAATCCCAACCGCCATGACATCAGACCTCACGCTCCATCAGCGCCCTGTGTGACACTCCATGCAGATCACATTTTTCTGAACATCACTTCTATCGTTTGTAAACTCCACTTCATTATCTCGAGGTCTCTCTCGGAGCCACAAAGGTCTTTTGAGGGAGGTGAACCCCTCGGTGGACAGGGGCTCACTTGGGGGTGAAGGATGGGCTTAGTTTCAAATAGAAATATATTCTTTGATGAAGATAACCGAAACCTTTACTCAAAGTTTGTTAAATGGGAGTGGAAGTAGTATCCGTGCTATTTTTACTGTTCTGCAACAGACACTTGGAGTAAAACTATTCTGCTTGCTGGGAGACAAGGGATCCTCCCACACGGAAAGTGTAGCTATCACCTTGGGGTACTTGGCAAATGTTAGCAGAAAATGAGAATAGAGAACACAGCAAAATAATTTTTTTCCCTCCAAGGTCACTTTGAACAGTGGGTTTGAAGCTCCCCCCTTCCTTCCGGCAGGAAAAAGACTTATTTCCATAAGGTAGAGCACGTTCTCCAGTGCAAGCCACAGGCCTCAGCCTGCACCGTTTCTGGAACAAATGTGCTCACCCCAAGGGTCCTCAGAGGCCTACTTTATCTGATTGCTAACTAAGGAAACTAAAACTCCACTTTGCAAAATGCCATTTCGATCTTCCTTCCCGCATCTTTCAAACTGTGGCTTTTGGGGCGCCTGGGTGGCGCAGTCAGTTAAGCGTCCGACTTCACCCAGGTCACGATCTCACGGTCCGTGAGTTCGAGCCCCGCGTCGGGCTCTGGGCTGATGGCTCAGAGTCTGGAGCCTGTTTCCGATTCTGTGTCTCCCTCTCTCTCTGCCCCTCCCCCGTTCATGCTCTGTCTCTCTCTGTCCCAAAAATAAATAAACGTTGAAAAAAAAAAATTAAAAAAAAAAAAAAAAAAAACTGTGGCTTTTTCTCCGGGAGTGTAAGAGGGTTTGAGAGGGAAAACCGTATTAGAACTTTATTCTATAATCATAAAGTTGAATGGGGCACGAGAGATCGTTGAATCCTACCTCCTCATTCCTGGTACTGTGTCAAAAATGAGCGAGGACTTCCAAGTTTCAAATTAAAAAAATAATTAGCAAAATAATAATAACAATAAAGGGGGCAGACACAGGTAATGGTATGTATGCAACCCGAGAATAAAAACAAGAAATCTCGGGGGCGCCTGGGTGGCTCAGTTAGTTCAGTGTCTTGACTTCGGCTCAGATCATGATCTCTCGGTTCGTGATTTCCAGCCCCGCATTGGGCTCTGTGCTGACCGCTGGATCCTGGAGCCTGCTTTAGGTTCTCTATCTCCCCCTGTCTCTGCCCCTCTCATGCTGTGTCTCTGCCTCTCAATAATAAATAAATGTTAAAAAAAAGGGTTTTTTTTTTAATTAAAAAAAAAAAAAACAAGAAATCTCTCCTTTCACTTATATGTGAAGTACCTAACGTAGTCAAATTCATAGAGACAGAAAATAGAAGGGCGGTTGCTAGGGGCTGGACAGAATGGGGAACAGGGAGTTAGTGTTCAATGCGGACAGAGTTTCAGTTTTATAAATTCAAAAGAAAAGAGTTCTGGAGATGGATGGTGGTGATGGGTGCACAATGATGTAAATGTACTTAATGCCACTTACAAATGGTTACATGATAAATTTTATGTTATGTGTATTTTGCCACAATTTTTTAAACTGAGGAGAAAGAAAAAAAAAAAGACATCTCTACCTGCTAGTTTTCATTTGGGGACCAGCATGGCCTAGGGGCTGGCAACTAAGACCCGAGTCCTGAGTTTCTCTCTCTGTTCTGCATTTACCCTCTGGGCTTTGGGTAAGTCATTTGACATCTCTGAGACTATTTCTTCATCTGTAAAAATGGGAATAATAATAATAGTCCCCAACCTCATAGGCCTATGAGGATAAAAAATAAGAGAACATAATCTCATAGCACAAGAGTAATCACACGCTAAGTTATTATGCGTTTTAAGAATAAATTAGTTTATTATTTAATGTTATTTGAAAGTCAGTACTGATCAAATAATTAAATTATTAATATTCTATTATCAGCTAGATCGATAAGCGCATCAGACTTCGTTTTAAGGGAAGCAGCAGCCCAAGTTAGGAGTCAGGGGACCTAGGCTTCAAGAATGGCTGTGCGCGTGAGATTTCTCCCAGGTGACACGCAGGGATTGACTGAGACGATCTCTTAGATTACCAAAAAGCAAGATCAGCTTTGCTACTCGGCGGGAGCCAGACCTGGAACTGCACCTCCCTCACCGCCTAATCTCCCCGCGGACGTCCCGGACGAGGGAAGGGGTCCAAAGATCTTGCCAGAGGCTGGTTGCAAAGCCATTTCCTAAACCGAAGGAGGTAGCATAGTGCAACACTTATGCAAGACACCCTCGGATCGGGAGCCAGGGTCCCGCACCTTTGTTCCTCCCCTTGCCAAGTCTGCCCCGGCCCGCTGGGGGAGCTGCAAGGAACCTGCAAGCTTCCCACATCCTGCAGAGACCACAAGAAAAGGCAACCCCTCAACAGCCTAGGTTGCAGAATTAGAAATACGCCCCTGCACATGCGCGGTGCGATTTACGAGTGGCCCCGGGACACGACGCGCGCCCACTGCGCCTGCGCCGTCCCGCTCGCCCTTTGGGGCACAGGACCAGAAAGGGGGGGTCCCAGGGTCCCACGAAGAAGAAAAACGAATGAGTCTGCGGCGGCCGCCAGGTCCCGGTTTCCTCGTTCCTTACCTCATAGTGTTTCATGGCTTCTTCACACGACCCCTACTAATCCCGCTGCCGCTGCTGCCTACCTGCGCGCGACAAGGAACAGGCTCCCTCACGCGCTCGCGACCGCCGCGCGAGACTAACATCGGTTCCGCGTCCGCCCCGCCCCTCCCTGCCACGAGCGCCCCTACAGCCAATCAGCGCGCGGGGCGCTCACCTTCGACCCCGCCCCGCGGGGCAGGTCTTGAGCGAGGACTAGCAGCTCTCGCCACGAGCCTGGCCAATCAGCTTGCGGGACACAGGGAAGCGCTAAAAGGTGCTTGGCCACCCACCAATCAAAATAAGGCCTCGGCGCCGCGCGCCCTTTGCCCGCCTCTCGGTGGCGTCGCTGTGGAAACCGAGGGAAGCAAAGGTTACCGTAAAGCTGGGGGCGGGAGCAAAAAGTTCAGTGACAGGGGGAGCATCATCCGCCTGGCTGGAGGTGCGGCTGTGAACTCCCAGGTGGGCAGCCCCCTGGGTAAAGGGGAGCAACCTGAAAGGGATAGGAGCTGGGGGCGTGTGCTTGGGCTCCTGGATGGAGAAGCCTCTCCAGCGAGGGAACCCCCCCCCCCATCTGTCATGAATCGGAGGGGGAAATGCCTTCACTGCCCTTTTCAATGCAAGCCCCACCGCCCCACCTTGTCCGGCCCCATAGGCGGAGGGCCCACACTTGTCCACCTGTGCGGTCCAGCATGGTCACCACTGGTCACATGTAGCTAGTGAGCCCTTGAAATGTGGCTGGTTGGTGCAAATTGAGATGTGTTGTAAATGTAAAACACACACTGACTTCAAAGACTTAGCATTGAAGAGAATGTAAAATAAAAATCTCACTAATAACCTTTAATGTTAATTACAAGTTGAAATGATAGTATTTTGGATATATTGGATTAAAATAGATTATTAAAATTAAGTTCCCCTGTTCCTCTTTACGTTTTTCAACATGCCTGTTGGAACATTTAGAATCACAGACCTGGCTTGCATTTGTGGCTGGTAGTTGTGCCTTTACTGGACAATGCTGGTCTGGGGTTATGCCATGCTTTTGCTCCTTTGTCATGAGCAGGCTGGGAAAGTTGGGCACCACCTCATACACGCACACACAAGCGCGTGCACGCACACACACACACACACACACACCACACACAAGATTACAGGACAGGGTAAGCAGTGAGTAGCACCTGGCACACGCCCTCACCTACCTTCTCTCCTTTCTCCTGGTTCCGGACCCTACCCCTGAGCCTTCATCAACCGTTGAACCCTTTGGAATTTACAAGCCTGACATCAGAGACAGTGGTGAGAAGTCCTCAAAGGTAGATCACTGATTCACCGGGGAGCAGGGTGGGGCAAGGTGAGTCAGTGCTTAGCACTTAGTCATCCAGGTTCGGTTCTGGAAACTTCTGAAGCTACAGCTTTTGGGGACCAGTGACTCCCAGTGAAGGAAGCCAACGCTGTGGTCTTCAGAAACACACGATGTTTTTTGCCCAGGTCTATCTGGGCAAAAGAGGTGAAAACCTAAATGTGTTTTATAATTGTGCTTTCAAAAACACAGATCTTTCTCGATTGGCAATTGAGGGCTCACGGTATCTTGAGATCCTTTGTGTCCTGACAGCCTTCACTCCCTGCCCTCACTGAGGGGGGACAAGAGGAGTAATCACCTAGAAACCAAAAATTAAAACCCTACCAAGTTGAGTTACTTGAAACATCTTAATGGTGCAGCGCTGAGGGGCACATTTGAACTGCTAAAATCTAGCCACGTTTTGCTACTTTGCCCGTCAATTTTCAGCTTCTCTAATGTGGGCTGGGTCCGTGTGTCTTCTGCCATGCTGCATTGCAGCCAATAAGGTGTGTGGGGTCCAAACAGATGTCATTTTGGAGAGAGTCCATGTACATTCCTACGGACTCAGAACATCCTGGAATGTACCTTTTGAGACTGCTTTCCTGAGCCTTATACTCACTCAAAAGGCACAAAATCATTCTGTGATCCTACGATATCGTGTGCCAGCAAGGGCACACAAATAATTTCCACCCTCTTTTCATCCACAAGAAGCTCATAAAAAGGCAGGATCTAGCCCAGAAAGAAGAATTCCTCCTTTTTTTTTTTTTTAAATGGATATTGCAGATGCAAGGACCCCTTATTGGCCTCATCTGGCTTCCACTAACCAGGCTGTCAGAAATAATATCCACCTTCAGAATGAAGACTGGCCACTTTGTTCGAACCATTCATGATACTCTACTGAGGCTCTCACTGTGCCTGTCAGTTAGGGACAGCTAGACCCTCCTTCTGTCCCCAGCATCCCCAGCACAGTGGCTAATTCGCAACAGTCACAGTTCACGTTTGCTGAGCCAGCTATGACAAGCCCCTTCAGGCAATTTCCAAAGGGGAAATTGCAGAAAAGCCTGGCGCAGTGGCAGCACTGAAGGATGAGCGAGGGCTCCTTGGATCTCGGATCTGGTGGAACCCAGGGTCATTTGGATGATGAAACTCTGGTGTGTCTGTCTATCTTACAGGCTCCTTTTGTATTTCCCACATGCAAGTAGGTAGGATCTTGATTTCTCTGGGAACCTGGCTTGGTTTGTTCTGGTGTATGCGATGGAGCTGGTTCAGAGTTGTGGGAGAGGTGAAGCCTAGAGCAGACAAGCCAGGGCTGGTTAGCAACTTGCCATTGTGTCAGGAATCCCAGAGAGAGGCTTCCAAAGTCCTACCCATCTTGCCTTCTTTAAGTCCGTAGAATTTTTTGTCTTTTTATTCAGCTATCATTTACATACAGTAGAATTTACCTTTTAGAGGGTACAGCTCAATATATGCAGCTGTGTCACCATCATCACACTCAAGATGTAGAAAATTTTCCATCACCCCCCCCCAAATTCCCCCGTATCCCTTTGTAGCAAATCCCAGCCCCTGGAAGCCACTGATCTGCTTTCTGCCCCAATACATGTACCTTTCCTAGAATGCCTTATAAAATGGCATCACAGCAGTAGGGTTCAAACAGTCTTTTGAATCTGGCTCCTTTGACTAACATAAGGCATTTGAGATTCATCTGCCGTGTTGTCTGTACCAATAGCTCGGTCCTTTTTAATGGCTGAATAGCATTCCAACATGTGGCTCGACCACAGTTTATGTATCCATTCTCCCACTGAAGGAAATTTAGGTTTTAATGGCTGTTGATAATTACACATCAAGCTTTGATAAACATTCGCTCGTGGGATTTTATGGGAACTTGGGTTTTTATTTCACATGGGTGTTCCACTAGGGGTGAGACTGTTGGCTCATACGGTGGTAGTGCTTTTGAAGGTCTTTTTAACGAGGAGAAGCAATGTTGAAAAAGTGGTGATGCATTCCTTAAAAATTAAGGCTTTGTCATCATCTGAATCACATTTTACACAAGCTGAGGGCTTACCTATAAACATTCAGTGTGCTGAACACTTTATACTTCAGCATTTCAGTCACTGGGTGACCGCAGGCAAGTGACATGACCTCTCAGAGCCTCAGTTTTTCCACTGCAACGTGCAGGTAATATTACGCCAACCCCATTGGATTATTGCGAGGATTAAATGAGTTATGGAGCATTTGGAGCTGGCTTGGCACATAGTAAGGCCATGTCAATAGTATAGCCGTTATAATGTTTATTTCCTGGCCCCTTTCAATTTCATCCTTATAGCAACCCTGGGAGGTAAGATCTCACTCTTACCTCCATTTTATAGGAAACATACCTATAATGATCAAGCAAGTTGTACAAGATCACACAGTCAGTAAATAAGTAAATAGTGGGTCCAAGATTTCAGCTGAGGCTGACTGACTCCAGGCTCACCTGCTTTGTTCCTATATCAGCAAGGGTTCTCCCAAAGAAACAGAACCAGGATATATGTGTGTGTGTGTGTGTGTGTGTGTGTGTGTGTGTGTGTGTGTGTTAAGAGATGTATTTCGGGGTGCCTGGGGGGCTCAGTCAGTTAAGCATCTGACATCATATTGGCTCAGGTCAAGTTCCAGCCCCACATCAGGCTCTGGGCTGACAGCTCAGAGCCTGGAGCCTGCTTCAGATTCTGTGTCTCCCTTGCTCTCTGCCCCTCCACTCTTTGTGCGCGCGCTCTCTCTCTCTCTCTCTCTCTCTCTCTCTCTCTCTCTCTCTCAAAAATAAACATTTAAAGAAATTTTTCAAAAAAAAGAAATATATATATAAGACATGTATTTCAAGGCATTGGTTTACACGATTGTGGGCACTACCTAGGCAAGTCTGAAATCTGTAGGGCTGACCAGCAGGCTAGAAACTCTTGGCCAGGAGCTGATGCTTCTTCCTCAGGGAAACCTAAGTATTATTTGCTTTTAAAGCCTTTCAACTGATGGGACAAGGCCCACCCACATTATCCAGGGTCATCTCCTATACTTAAATCAACTGACTATAAATGTTAACCACATCAACACTTACATTACTGTTTAATTGAGCATCTGGGTACTATAGCCCAACTAAACTGATGCATAAAATTAACCACCCCATCTTCTCAGAGTTGAGAGCTCAAGATCGGCTGAGGTTTCTGCAGAGGCTACTGTCCCAGTAACATTTTGAAGTGTCCAATGAGTGTCCAGGTCAAAAAATCCTAAGGAGAGGTGTTGGGGTTATTTTGCATATATTGGCGTTAAACAAAAATTCCTGAACATGACCCAGACTCACACAAGGAAGAGGGAGTCTCCAGCCCTAAGTTTGCCCCCAAATACAAAGACACCCAAAGTCATGTAAAGACCTTTGGAGGCTGCCATATTCGTAACTCTAAATTCATACTAGGGGCGCCTGGGTGGCTCAGTCGGTTGAGCGTCCGACTTCGGCTCAGGTCATGATCTCACAGCTGGTGAGTTCAAGCCCCGCGTTGGGCTCTGTGTTGACAACTCAGAGCCTGGAGCCTGCTTTCGATTCTGTGTCTCCCTCCCCCTCTGCCCCTAACCCACTCGCATTCTGTCTCTGTCTCTCTCGAAAATAAATAAATGGTAAAAATTTTTTTAATAAATTAAATTCATACTATAAAATACTAGCATGTAAGCATGAAACCCACAAGCGCTGGATTTTCCTTCCTGATGATGACTCTCCAGCTATTTATGTAACTTTTTGAAAAATTGAATTATTTCCCCCTTATGATGGTTCAGGACCCTGCTGTGTGTACTCACGGGTGCCCAGCCCAGATCCATCCTCCTGGGTTGACCAGTGTGTGTACTAATCCAATCCTTACTGACACAGTTACCCTTGGTGGGGTCAGTGAGTGGCCAAGGATGGCCGGAATCCCCCAGCTGGAAAGCAGCGGAAAGCCATGGTCTTCCTTCTCAGGAGTTTCAGCTTGCACAGGGGTGGCAGTCTCTAGAAGCTTTTTGCTGTGACGCTGCCAGGAAGGGGGTGGCTCAGCAGCCCATCATTCAACAAGACAGTTAGTCACCCCTTTGATAGTGCTTCCTCTGTGCCGGGTCTGTCCTGGGCACTTTACAAATGTTGACTCATGTCAATTTCTTTTTTTTTTTTTTTTCATGTTTATTTATTTTTGAGAGAGAGACAGAGAGACAGAGAGCAAGCAGGGGAGGGGCAGAGAGAGAGGGAGACACAGAATCCGAAGCAGGCTCCAGGCTCTGAGCTGTCAGCACAGAGCCCAACGCAGGACTCGAACTCACGAACTGTGAGATCGTGACCTGAGCTGAAGTCAGATACTCAGCCCACTGAGCCACCCAGGTGCCCCAACTCATGTCAGTTTCAAAGCCCTGTGAGGCAGGTACAACTAACTGCCGCCCCCATTGTACAGATGAGGAAACTGAGGCCCCACATGGCTCAGTAACCAGCCCAAGATGGTGCAGCCAGGAAATACTAGAACTGGAAATGAAACCTGCTGTCTGGCTCCAGAGCCAGCTGCACACCACCCTGACCTCCCAAGCAGTTCTTCCAGGAACATTCCGCCTCAGCCACCATCACTGCCGACCGCCTTTTCCCTACGGCCTTCTCAGGTGGTACCCCTTTCTGAGCCTCCTTTAGCCATCAGCCCTGTCTTTGACCACAGGCACCCCAGACTGTCAGAGCCAAAGGGGATCATGTTGCCCACAGAGGAGGAAACAGAGGCCCTGTGGGGTGTATGACACGTCCATGTCCCCCCAAATCATAAATGTAGTGGGGAGAAAAATGAAGCAGATGCATTAGAAACAGGCAGGAAATACTTACGAGCGTCCACTGTGGCCGGGCACCAGATACTGTTCCAGGCACTGGAGACCCAGCACTGACAACTGCAGGCCAGGAGGGAGGTGAATTGAACACGAAAAGTCAAAGAACGAGATAACTTCAGATTTCAATGGCAGGTAACGCGAAAGGCATGAGGAGGAGCCTTTTTCCCCCGGAGGGAAGATTACTCCGGAGAAGTGAGCTTTCGTCCTGGAGCCTCACCCTGCTTTATGGTGAGGACAGGGACAGTCCTGGGGCTCCTAATTGCATTCTCCCCACAGCCAAGAGAACGGTGGGTGTTTTTATTCCCCTGTTCCATAAGTCGGCGTAGGGGGGGAAAGCTGCGGCAAGGAAAGATTAGTCAACTTGCTCAGAATCACCCGGAGGGGAACCCACCCCCGGAGCCCGGTGAGATGTGTGCGACCAGCTCTACTGTCACCTGGGGCAGGGCGGGGCAGCTCTGATGGGCGTGGCCGCCTCCAGCCCTGCCCCTTGCCGGAGGGCAGTGTCGTAACCTATTGACCCAGGCTTCGGACGGGACTCGCCGCAGGCCGGGTCAGCAAAGGCAGTCAAAGAAGGTCGCGATTGGCTCCTCGCAGAGAGTGGGCGGGGCCTCCTTCGCTCGGTGCGCGCGCCGCCGCCGGGATGGGTTGCCGGGGGGTAGCGGGAAGGGGCGTGGCCGTGGGCGGGCGGCCGTTGGCAGCGTGGCCCCGCCCCGGATGTCGCGCGTCGCGGACTGGGCGGCGGCGATTGGTCGGAGCGGCGCAGGGGGCGGGGCGGAAGGTTCTGGAGGGGGCTGGCGGGCTCTGGAAGCTTCCGCCGGACGGGTATATAGAGTCCGGGACGGGGCGGCGGCGAAGCCGGGGTACGGCGATAGCTGGGCGGCGGGTCGCAAGCGAGGGCTATGGGCAAGGACTATTATCAGACGCTGGGCCTGGCCCGCGGCGCTTCGGACGAGGAAATCAAGCGGGCTTACCGCCGCCAGGCGCTGCGCTACCACCCAGACAAGAACAAGGAGCCCGGCGCCGAGGAGAAGTTCAAGGAGATCGCCGAGGCCTACGACGTGCTCAGCGACCCGCGCAAGCGCGAGATCTTCGACCGCTACGGGGAAGAAGGTGCGTGCGTGCGCGCGCGGCTAGGGGCGCGCCCCCGCCGTTTGACTGAAGGGGAAACCGAGGCTCGGTGGCCAGGCTGCGGCGTCCCTGGGGGACGCCTGGGTCCCGGTGGGCGAGCAGCCCCCGCCCTCCGGCCACGCGGGCCTCCGCCCTCGGATTGGCGGCCGCCCGATGGGAGGAGGAGTCCTGGCCGCTGTGCTTGCCCAGAAGCTTCTAGCAAGTCTGGGGCTGCCCCTCCCTAGGCGCCTCCGCCCACGTCCCCGAGCGGCCCCGGGGGTGCGGGTGCGGGCGGCAAGGAGGACAGCCTTAGCCGGGCCGGTGGCGCTAGGGCCCCGGGGGTCCGGGGCTCACCTGGGCCGAGGTGGCCGGCGCTGGCGTCCAGGGGCGCAGGGCGGGGCCTCTGGCTGCGCGCCGGGCGCGACCTGCGAGCCGGGAGCCTGCGACGAGCGCGCCGATTAGCGCCGACCTCGCTCCGGGGCCCCTGTGAGGGCGGAGTGAGGTAATCCCTGTAAAGTGCTTACCAAACCTGGTGCCAGGCACGTAGATGGCAGCGGGCGCCGGAGCAGTCCAGGTGCGGGGAGCGGCGGGGCCCGCCTCTGCCCGGCCTCCTTCCTCGGCGTAGGCCTCTTCGGGCAGGAGGAGGAAGCTTTCTTGTTGTCCAGTTGCCCGTTGATGACTCAGACTGGTTTCTGCGCTGGGTCTTAAGAAATGAAGTGGCTTCTTATGTAAGGATGGTGACAATTGGTGTCAGGGTGTGAGATTTTGAAAAGCTGTGTTTATTGTTTTGCTTTCACTTCTGCACTTCACACTTGACCAGCCCTAAAGTATTTTTTAAGAGGAAGCGCTTACTGAAGGTGGACCCTGGATCATGTCTTTTTCGTCTGATCTCTTAGTGGGTTCTTTGTAAGTTTTCACCTCCACGCAGGGAGCATAGGCAGTCAAGAAGTGGCAGGAGTTGGGTGGCCCTCAGAGAGGGCGCTTGGGCCCCTTGCCACTGTCCTGGCACCCTGAAGTACCTGGAGGAGGGGCGGTGAAAGCTTAGGGTTCTTCCTTGATCTTCTGTGACAGAGAAGGGAGGCCAAAAGACTTTTCCGCCCCCCCCCCCTCCGCCCCATGGCTCCCAAGCTTTTTTCCCTTAGCGAAAGGTCTTAGGGGGAGAGGCTCCCCGCCAACCATCTGATTTCCGACTTTGCCTTTCAGGCCTAAAGGGTGGTGGCCCCAGTGGCGGGAGCAGCGGTGGTGCTAACGGTACCTCTTTCAGCTACACGTTCCACGGAGACCCTCATGCCATGTTCGCTGAGTTCTTCGGTGGCCGCAATCCCTTTGACAACTTTTTTGGGCAGCGGAATGGGGAGGAAGGCATGGACATTGACGACCCGTTCTCTGGCTTACCCATGGGCATGGGTGGCTTCACCAACCTGAACTTTGTCCGCTCCCGTCCTGCCCAAGAGCCCACCCGAAAGAAGCAAGATCCCCCCGTCACACACGACCTCAGGGTCTCGCTTGAAGAGATCTATAGCGGCTGTACCAAGAAGATGAAAATCTCCCATAAGCGGCTGAACCCCGATGGAAAGAGCATTCGCAACGAAGACAAGATCTTGACCATCGAAGTAAAGCGGGGCTGGAAAGAAGGGACCAAAATCACCTTCCCCAAGGAAGGCGACCAGACCTCCAACAACATTCCAGCTGACATTGTCTTTGTTTTAAAGGACAAGCCACACAATATCTTTAAGAGAGATGGCTCTGACGTCATTTACCCAGCCAGGATCAGCCTTCGGGAGGTAGGATGCTAAGTAGGGTGCTATGGGGGGGGGGGGGGGGCAGGCGGTTGGTTTTTGAAGCCGTTTGACTTCATGACAGATACTTCTGAGCACTCAGGGGACAGGGCAAGACCGATCCAGGGACCTGGTTTTAGCAATAGGGACCTGGTGGCGCTTATCCTACATCAAACCGCGTCCGCGCAGGAGTCGAGCGCCCTAAGCTGCCTTCCATCTAACGTTCTCTCTTTGCTCTCCCAAGGCTCTCTGTGGCTGCACGGTGAACGTACCCACTCTGGACGGCAGGACCATACCCGTCGTGTTCAAAGATGTCATCAGGCCTGGCATGAGGCGAAAAGTTCCTGGAGAAGGCCTCCCCCTCCCCAAAACGCCCGAGAAACGCGGGGACCTCATTATTGAGTTCGAAGTGATCTTCCCTGAAAGGATCCCCCAGACATCAAGAACCGTACTGGAGCAGGTTCTTCCGATATAGTCACCAGGGTTTCCCAAGGACTGACCGGAGACCTTTCCAGAGCTCAAGGATTTCCAGACTGTTCCACCAGTTGTGGACCCATGAGAGGGCGGGAGGGCCCAGGGAGGGCTTTCGTACTGCTGAATGTTTTCCAGAGAATATATTACAATCTTTCAAAGTCGTGCACTAGACTTAAGTGGTTTTTCGAGCGATAGGGCGGCAGGTGATGGGGACCGAAGGAAAAGGCCTTCCAGTCTGTCCCACTGGGTCCTGCAGCCTTCCTTGGATGGGCCCACACCCTCCTCCGGGCCCTGCCTGTGGGTGAGAGGCAGACTCACAGCTGGGCTTGATCCGTCTGTAGCCCTTTGCTTGTGTGGCCATTAGCTGGTATCAGCCTGCCGTCTCGGTTCCCAGGCCCTGTTCGCTCCTCAGTTTTTGTTGTGTGATCAGTTCGTGTTTTATTCTGTATTTGTCTCCCACGTCTTGCTGTTCCTCTGAAGAACCCTATTTTCTCTTTCGCCATCTCAAATTGAGAACTGACCTAGACTGTTTTTGCAAAACTGCCTGGCCAGCACCCACAAGCAATACCTCTCGTTCCAGCAGGACCAAGGGCGCCGGCCTCGTGTGAATGAGCTGCACAGACGCTTCTCCCTGGAGGGCCTAGGGCCCTGGACAGAGCTGGGGGCCTTCTCGACCCCTGACTCCGAGGCCAAGTGCACTCACTTAAGGGTCATACTCTTTCTTTCTTCTGTAAGGCAATCTTTAGGCACACCTGGGACTTACCGGCGATCCGGGTAATTTTGTGTTTAACGGACTCTGGACTCTTTCAAAAGGATCTGATCCTTTTGATTTTGCACAGCCCTGGCTATAATCCCTTTTGATAAAAGGGTCTTTGCTTCTGATTACAGGAGCACTGTGGAACGTTTGTAAATATGTTTTTATAATTCCGTGTAACGTTGGTGTGCACTCACAGGAAACCGGCCCCCGGCAACTGCTGCTTTCTGTATCGGGCCATGATGGAACTCCAAAGGAACCTTGGGAGTCGGGGAGGGGGGCAGGGGGGGAACAAAGTGTCTGTTCCCTGCAGGCCAGTCTGGTGCTCAGACATTGGGACTCATTGTAAGCTGCCACTGCCAGCACGAGACCAAAGCGTGTGACTTGTCAATGTGCAGCACGACAGCATTAAAGACCGATGCTAAACCTCAGGGGGGCAGTCCTGCGACTCTGTTTGAGGGCTTTGCTGGCTGGGGCTGGGGCGGTGGCCGGGCGTCCCTCAGATGCAGTCAGGTGGGAGGCAGGAGTCCCCTGCGAGAGGGAGCGAAGTCTCCCAGGGCTACGTGGGGAGCGGAGAACGTCCGTCCACACCACCTACATGGACGCGATCCAGGCATCCAGAGAGCCCAATGGATTTGAAGCTCTGTTTTGTGAAGGTTGGGGCTGGAGTTAAGCAGTTCACTTTCCCATGTTCCAGGCAGGGCCTGGTTGCTGGGGCCAAGGGGTGGTGCACTGTAGGGCCTGCCCTGTGATCCCCGTGCACTCCTTTCTTGCTGGAACAGGCAGAGTGGCAGGCAGGCCCTGGCCAAACCAGACCCGAATTCCAGCCCAGGGCTGAGCTCCTCCTGGAGAAGACACATTTCCTGCCCTGGCTTCATTCGCAGGCCGCTGAAGTTGCTTTTGCTTTATAACTTTTTTTTTTTTTTTTAAGAAAACTGGTTTTATTACACGGTAAGTAATTACAGAGGCTTAAAACCGTGGTATTGCTACTTCGCTATGAGACGTCTTAAAAACAGCGTTTAAAATCAATCAAGGAGTGGCTTTCCCTTCCGACTGAAAGGTGACCACTGGGAGCGAATGGGGGCCGGGCTGTCCAAGAGAAGTTTCTGCAAGCAATGGGAATGTTTTAGGTCGTCTTTAAATGGGACTGCTTTAAGATTCAACAAAATATATTCAGCCTCTCCGTTGTTGCAGTCACATTTCCAGGGCTCGGCAGCAGCCACACACAGCTAGTGGCAAGTGCTGGACAGCACAGATCAGAGGGCTTGCCCCCCAAACCTAAGATGGGGCTCTCAGTGAGCCCAGAGGACGCCGTCCCAGTTGGGAGGCGACCCTGAGTGTCAGAGCCATAAGGGAGCTTGTCACAGATGTTTACTGAGCTACCTCAGGCACCGAGATGACCCTTCCTGCGGAATTGGCCCTGGCCTTGGGTTGTAGGCCACCCCTCCCCCAGAGTGCCATCCCTGTGCCCCTGTCACCATTAGGTGGTAGGTCCCTGCAACCTTCCTGTCAAAGTTACCGACACAAAAGCACACAAAACCTCAAAGTGCACACAGTTCTGGGAACTTCTAGAAATCACCTACCCAGCACAGTGGGTGGGGCAGTGGGATCCTTTAGGAACGTGTTCGTGGTGAAAAGGACAAAAAGGACCCAGGTGGACAGAAAACCGGCCCCTCTGACACTGCGTTGTT